AGTGCGCTTCATGCATGCTCGTTGCATCAGGATTTGGCTCTCAGCTATCAACTTTATGGGCTCCTTGTTCGCTTAGGATTTGAATCGAATATATTCTTGATAAATGCGTTTTTAACAGCCTTGATAAGGCATGGTAAATTGTTGGAGGCTTTAGAGGTTTTCGAGAAGAGCTCCAACAAGGACATTGTGTCTTGGAATGCTGTGATTGCTGGCTGTTTGCAGCATTCTTACTTCAATGTACCTGGGTTTTGGCTTCGCATGAATTGTGAAGGAGTGAAGCCTGATGGCTTCACGTTTGCTACTGTTCTTACTGGCTTGGCTGCTCTTTGTGATCTCAATTTGGGTCTACAAGTGCATGCGCAAATGGTTAAATCTGGCCATGGGGATGAGAATTGCGTTGGGAATTCTTTGGTGGATATGTACATGAAGAATCAGAGACTGGCAGATGGTTTCAGAGCTTTCCAGGAAATGCCTCAAAGAGATGTGTCCTCTTGGACACAAATGGCTGCTGGATGCCTGCAGTGTGGGGAACCAGGAATTGCATTGGAGGTCATTGCAGAGATGAGAAAGACGGGTGTAAAACCCAGTAGGTTTACCCTGGCAACTGCCTTTAATGCCTGTGCCACTCTATCTTCGTTGGAGGAAGGGAAGAAACTTCATGGCTTGAGAATTGAACTCGGGACTGAAATTGATGTCTGTGTAGATAATGCGCTGCTTGATATGTATGCAAAATGTGGATCAATGGATGCTGTGTGGACTGTTTTCCGATTGATGAATGATCGTTCTATTATTTCATGGACAACAATGATAATGGGTTGTGCACAGAATGGGCAAGCTAGGGAAGCTCTCAAGATTTTTGATGAGATGATAGTGGAGGGGATAGAACCAAATTATGTCACCTTCATTTGTGTGCTTTATGCATGCAGCCAAGGAGGGTTTATTGATGAGGGCTGGAAATATTTCTCCTCCATGAGCAGTGACCATGGAATTTCCCCTGGAGAAGATCATTATGCATGCATGGTAAATCTACTTGGCCGAGGTGGGCTTATTAAAGAAGCAGAGGAGTTAACATTGGCAATGCCATTTAAACTCGGCATGCTGGTTTGGCAAACCCTACTTGGTGCTTGTCAACTTCATGGGGATATTCAAACTGGGAAACGAGCTGCAGAGCATGCAGTGAATTTGGATAAAAAGCACCCTTCAAGTTACGTGTTGCTATCAAACATGTTTGCTGGGTTGAACAATTGGCATAGCGTGGGAGATATAAGAGAGCTAATGGAGACCAGTGATGTAAAGAAAATTCCAGGATCCAGTTGGATTGAGGATCTGAGATAGAAAAGGATTGCTTGATCCATCCAGCATACTGGAGATGTACGTCTAGGGAGAGATTGCTTAGTCCGTCTCGCATACATTTGTACCGCTCCCAAACATGCAATGATCTTGTCTAAAGGCCGACAAAAGGAAACATGTCATCCCCATTGGAGTTATAGCCTACAAGGAATGTAACCGTTGATAACAAACACGAAAGTCCCAAAAAGGTATACGAAACTGAGAACTCCCAGGCTTGTTTCTT